TTGCTAGTTATCATAATTTTTTATTACTGCTGGATTCACATTTTGTCTTTCATCACAAGATACTCATAAACCTGTGGCCCCATTGTCCTGATCGTTTGCCCACATGTTCTACTACCGTAGGAGCCACACAATTTTAATTTCAACCTCATGGATATAAGTGACTTCCCTCCAGGTTCAAACATTATGAATGAACATGGGGAATCGAGGGTTAATTCACTACTCATAAGGTTGCTGAGAACTTCTTGACAGCCCACGATTGGTTTCGTCCTTCTTGGGGCTCATCAGGTAGGCGGAGTTCCAGAGTATCCGTCAACCTTATGTTCTACTTGAACCTAAATTGGACAGATTTCGATAAATACACTCCTTTTCACATCAATTAGGCTGTGACGGGATATGCATATGGAACCCGCCTGAATCACTTGTCTTTTTTCAAATAAAAAATGCAAAAAAAACAAGATGTTCAGTTGGGTTCCAGGTGAATGTATCTGTCGGAATTAAGAGGTACTAATTAGCTACATAGCCACTGAGCGAGAACTGTGCGATAGAGGCACTAGTGGAGAACGACCAAACTGCGGTTTTGATTGAACGACCAAAAAGAATCGAACCAAGTACGATGCGACGAAATCTTACCACATATGTGAGTAAAGACTCTCTTTGGTGTTTTGTATCATCTGAACCGTCAAGCAGTTCATTTTCCCCATACTTTGGAAAAGTGTGATGTCACACGACCACGTCCAGCCATAACCAAGCAACAAACTGTACAGTGTGTAGTGCTTCTTGTAGGATAAATCAATGGTAGTTTTCACATTCGTGTCACAGAAGGGTTCGTTGGTAATCTCCTGCGCACAAAAAGTTGGGCAGAGTTTATAACTACTAAAAAAACAGCTATAAGTCACCCAATTTGGTTGTATACTTCTTACCCTTACATTCGGTTGGGCGCAGACAGACATCACATATATTCACAATACTTTACGGCGGAGCACTTTAGTCGCCAAAATTTGCACAGGTTGATCAGCGTTCGCATGTACTTGTAGGCTTCTAGCACGTTATAACAGGGATTTCGTTCATCGACTGTCTGCATTTCACTGGGTGGCTGCAGCCGTTTTATTAGGCCAGCGGCATGATGCATTTTTAACTTTTTCTCCTTCTAGCACACCAAAGTTTGTCCTCACTACACTTTAATCGATCACAGCAAACATAAATACTTTGTGCTTCCTTGATGTTCGTGCAAGTGAAGTTTGTTGCGCAGTGTGATCGAGTAGAATGAACCTGATAACTAGATGCTACTATCCTACGACCCTTGAACGGAGTAGCTTACTATCCATGGTATCGCTAAAGTACACGTGACCTTAAATGCCAGTTAAACCTCACCTAACAGATTATCCATCTGTGCAACGTGCCGACATAAAGGTCCAGCTCTCCTATACAAGGCTACAACACCGACAATTGGTACGTGGAATCGTTAGCAAGGGGTGTGCGCATTGCACGATAAACTGAGGCACAAAACGGGGCTGCATCCGAACCACATACCAGTAAGCGTTACGCGGTCGAAACGTATCTTTAAGAAGGTGGCCAAGCAAGATTCACGATTAGAAAGATTCACGATTAGAAACTGGTTACAATCTCTCCTGAATATGTATTATTCCTTCATATGAAAACAACCGGTTGAGCCATTTATGTACCATAAAGGGACTATGATAACATTGTTAAGTGTCAGTGATGCTTGCAGTAGTTGCAGACCTCAGGTTGGCAAACTAATCTTTACAGCAAGTTCACTACACAACAGCTAAATCGTACAACAGATCTGTAACACCGGTGTCATCACCATTCTCCACTTGTGAGGATTGGCAATACTTGGTTACGTATCCATGGGTACAGCACACAAGCTTAGTACGCATCTTGCTATACAACGAGTACGGTAGTCATTTAGAGGTAAGAAACGTCATACACTTGCACCAACTGCTCAAATATGTCCAGTTTTACTTTACAGAAATACGCATGTACCTAAATGACAACCGGAGAGCTATAATGAACGCGGGCCACGTCACTCCATATCCATATGTTTAAACATCACAGCTGTGTTGCTGGGCTGCCTTGAGGAATACGTCACCAGTTCCGAACAAAGCCAAACGCCGGCATATCTGAAGGGACCTATAAGGACAATTGGGCTCCTACAAAACAAGAAGACATATTTACCATGTATGTCTGTTATCACATGAATTCGTGGTTTACTGCAATTCCGTGTTCTCCCTATGCACATTGTACTGTAGTGCCATATCATCGGTGACAGGTCCAAGCACGAAAAGCACATGTGCATGGAATGAGTCCCTAGGGTTACCATCGCTACCACAAGTTCTTGAGACTACCAAACACGGCTTAGCAGCATGCTGTCAGTGGAGTGGGTGTGAAAGTTGTCCACGGCAGGAACGTCGCCATTGGCTGGACACAATTAACGTGTTTGTCCTGATAATACAGCTGTGTTCCGGATTTTTCTGTTTTCTTGCCGCGTAGTCTGGCAGGCCACGTTTAGACGTAACCAATAGGCTGCCACCCACGACTCAACAGGCACCAATAACTCTAAATTGTCAGTGCAAGGTAACATATCCTTAGAGGAGAGTAAATCATCGTCATGGGATTCAGAAAATGTCCATCCTACTGTCCGTCCACCACACATTCATACTACTCCCCCATAGACTGCCTCACTGCATATGATACCCGCTTTACCTTGGAAGCATCAGTCTGTAGGCATTTTGATGGCCAGTCTCTTGACATGATCAAAAGACAAATATCGAAGAGCACTGATCCAGTTACAACGCAAATGTTCCATTAACTCTATCCGACTAGTTATTGAGGACAGACACTCAAGATGTGATGTCACACTTATTACTTCAATTCACTTTAACTTGTAATCCACAAGTGAGGAGAAAACACTACCTCCCAGTTTTTATACATATTGCTCACTAGCGTTCATATCAGACAACGCTTCGAGCAAGACGCCACAAGTCCACTTGGGATAAGCAACACCTGCACTTTTTCGGCTGCAACCCAGTCGGTTGCAGGCGCAGACTAAGAATATCAATACATCTGATTGACTAGAGGATAAAGCATGGTGTTTAACTAAAAATCCATTGGTAAATGACTATCCCGAAAATTCTGTATTCGCAAATCCTTTAAAACCAAACTAAACAAACAGACAAAAATAAATTTTTGGGGTGATCCACTTCATTTGGTCTCTCTTAAAAGTTGTGAAGAACTCCATAGCCAGCAGTTCACGCCGGATTTCCAAAAGATTCCTCATACACGGAGAGGTCCTCCCCATCTCTGCACTTTCATTCAGCGAGGAATGGTTTAACCCCTCGCTCAGAAGGAAAGCCATGAAGTTGACCATTTTCAAACACGTACTGAATATCCGTACTCTTCCATAACAGCGTAGGGATTCGATACATACAAGGAGGAAAGCTGGTAGTGTTGGGTTTAGTTGGATCCCAGGAATGAAGCACCATACTTTAAGGAAACAAATTACGTATCAAATGGATGGTTGTCTCAGCCGAAAAATTTCTCATATGGTTGAAATGGCTTGCTTGGAGTGAGACCCCAGAAGCAGAATCACTTTTCTTGACTAATCCGGTCTCACGCTGTTTCAGCTTAAGGATGCGGCATGCGACGTAGCTCATCCCATACTATTCAGGTCACTCTGGTTACGTCACATAATCGCCGCTGCTATGCATGATTCAAACTCTTCGGTCGAGGACCTCATCGTCCCCCCATCCAGGCTAGGGCAGGACTCTGGTTATCACGAAATCATGGGTTACGTCATAATCATATGACTCGCCAACCGTCGTTTGACGAAATTAGCCTTGACACCCTATTTGATGAATACAGTAGAACGGATAAGCGAACCTTGACTCCTACTGAAGTTCCCAACCATGCTTCACTAACGCTTTTTATACCACCACAAGGTCCATCTAATGATTAGTCTATTGCACAACATCTGAGCAGGGTTTGCTGCTAAGAGTTCAGCAACTCCAGACAAGGCTAACCATCCTGTTTGGTTTCAATGTGCTGGCTACTTTTGGCACTTTACACCAGAAATCATCTGGCACCTCCGCACCAGTTCCGTTCAATGCATAGGAGGGATTAGTGGGGCTAAGGTGCGAGGAATGTGACAAGTGCTGCAAATCAAAAGATGGCTTGGTAGCACACCGTCGAGTTCACGTCCTTCAAAGTGATCAACCAATCGGTCTGTGCTGATTTTTCCCTCCTTTTTCCAACAAAGATTGGCCTGAGTGGACAAAACCGACACGCACACTCCGCCCAGGAGAATGCAGGTATGATTGGTCACGTGAAGAATTCCGGTGTCCGCTGGTCCCAATAAGAATCACAATAACCCTTGCTTCTGGCTTGCAATCTGTATCCGTCTTGTGACATACAAGCCGCTCTGTTTGCGAGATTAAAGCAGTATTTTTCTGGTCAATCGGCTATCAATATCAAAACTAGGTTACCTGTGCTTAACCGGCAAGCATACTTGGACGAATCATCACCAGGTGGTCCTGACCAATCCACCGGCCAAGCAGCACCCTACTCGTCACAAGCTGAGAACCATAGCGTCTGGTTTCAACAAACGGTGGACTGCGCCGTGTCATTCTTGGAGTCCCATGCTAACAGTTCGCTCTCTGGTGGTGACATTCTGGCACTCGCCCGAGGGTTGCAGTCTGGTGCCATTATACCAGAGCAAGCCATGCTTGCTTCTGGACCTCCACGTATACAAGATATTTCCACACTCGTGGAATCCTGTCTCCCGACACTGTCATCATCTTGCTCATCGGGCGCTGACCAACCGAAAGCAGATCCGCCGAACCAACCACACCACCATCCAGACCCTATACTCCCGAAGACGGAAAGATGCAGCATCTGCTGTGGAAGGACCTATACAGGGTAACCGTGGCCTACCTCAGAACGTCGAGCAGTATTGGAAACAGACACCCTCTGCTCCAAAACACATGCATCGCCGGCTAAGTCGCGCAGCACTACCATCCGACTGGAGTTTGGTTGAGCCAATTACAGATGAGGAAGTTGACCGTACGATCCGTTTAACAGGCAATTCGTCCCCGGGCCTGGGCAAGCTTACGCCCAAGATGCCCAAATATTCGCTGGGTATGTGAACCTACTCGCATTAACTGGAAGTTATCCCCCGCATCTGTGTCGTGCACGTATTACCCTAATTTCGAAGCCGACTTCGCTGGACCAACCGAGACTGATCTCTATGTCATCCATTCTTGTCCAATGCTTTCATAAGGTGTTTATTGATCGCTGGGGCCGTAGACTGCAACTTCCATCATTCCAGTTTGCATTTTTACATCGAGATGGTTGTTTAGAATCTTCATCACTGTTATACACCCTGCTTCGTCACTCTTAAGCGACTGTTTCTAACCTCAGATTGGCGTTTGTTGATATCCCAAAAGCGTTTGATTCGGTTTCAAATGACACAATTGTCAGATCTGCCGGGACGTTCGGAGCACCGTCACCTCTTTTTCGATACAGTCCAATGAGAATGCTTTAGCGGTTGTTTCTAAATTCCGAGGTTCATTTCCACAGAGATGTGAGGCAGGGAGATCCAATCTCCGCATTACTGTTCATCATGATAATGGATGAGTTTTTTGGATGGTCGATGCCGCAACTAGGGTACCAGTTCCATGACCTCTTATTCGTCTTCGCTGACGACTAAGTCGTATGTGTAGGAAGTCAGGCTCGCCTGAAAGAGAAGCTTGAAGCTACTACGGTTGAGTTGGGAAAAGAGAGTACGAAGACCGACGCTTGAAAGAAAAAAGCGATGGTGCTTTGTGGGGACAAGAAAAATCGGGCGAAATTGGTCTTAGTCGAACCCTTTTGTTTCACCAAGGAACTAATCAACCCTCCGGGTCCAACGGATGCCGTAACATATTTGAGCATCCCCTCACTTACAAGGAGAAAGTGGTCTGCAACCACCGACAGCAGCAGCCCAATCTGCTTTCTGAGGTGACGCGTGCCCAGTTGAAGCCACCTCAAGGAATGGAGGTCACAAGGGAATACCTGCTACCGTCGCTGACATATTTGCTCGTGCTTGGTCAAGTCCACCAAAACATACTCAAATGTTGGACAGTTACATCAGGCAATCTATTGGTGGCTGGCTACGTCTACCGAAGGACATCCCCATCAGCTTAATCCACACCGGTAAAAAAACTTGGGAGACCTGGTATCCTAAGTCTGAGTTCAACCATCCTGATGCAGCGGAGAGCGCGTATGAAAAGCTCCTGCTTACCCAGTGCCGAGTAACACGCAGTGAGGTCATTGATTCCTCATTCGGCAAGACTCTTCGGCATCTCAGCCTTCCGATCTGAGTCCACGGTGAATGCGTAAACATCAAGATACAGCAGGTGGCTGCCCGGGGCGATAGTCTGCACAGCAGCGTTGAGGGTTGCTTGGCCTCTCTCGAACTGATGGCTTGTGTTTCCAGAATGAGTGTTTCTTCGGATATTTATTCGCGGTACCCAGCTCCGGAACAGAGTACTTAAGACGAAAGTTAGAAACACCCGGCATGGTCATGGTGGTCAGACAATTTTTCGTCGTGGAAACTGTGGTAAACCGAAGAGTTTGGTGCGTATTCTGCAGTCTTGCTGAATCATGCATCATGCTAGATGTGGTCATCATAATCCGGTCGCAAGTGAACTCGCGAAGCGTTGCCTGAGATACATCGTCTTCGAGGAGTTGAGCACCTACGTCGATGTCTTTCATCAAGCCTGATCTAGTCGCTGTTTGGGAGCACCGAGCAACTCTGATAGACTTAAGAGTAGTCTCGAATGAGCGTAGAGTGACTGTGTGCGATGGAAAGAAGCAGGAGTATGGAGCTGATGATTGTTCCCTCGCCATCATCTCAGTCCTTCGTGCAGTCGATTGTGGTGTCGACGTTTTGGTCCACCAACCGATGATCATTTCATATCAAGGGATTTTCTTTTTTCAATCCGCCAAGGCTGTCATTGGACTGGGAATTCCCAGGGTCGATGATTTGTGTTTCCTCGCCACTTTTGGGCTCGCTCCGTACTTACGACAATTTTGTACATGGTGCATGGCTTTAAACTTTCATTCTCGCCGTTGAATTTCACACCTGACCCAGTATGACGGACACTTTGTGCCTCACATGTGAGTCTTGAATGCGCTAGCGCTTACCGCGCCTTGTAAAGCATTTAGCGTTGTTTGTCCCTTCTTCAGGTATTGGCCTTCCCACGTGTGGTTCCATACCAAACATTCTTACGTTCGTTGGGATTCACCTTGCCTGACTGGAACTTGCGGCACGGATGGGACGCTTCTCTCGTTTTATCTAGTATTCTCCTGTACACTCTTCCACATCTATCGCCTGGATTTTATGTTTGTGATCATGATCTTCAAAAATAAACGATGATCGTGTAATGCGATTCTTAATTAAAATGAGAATTCCATCGATCGACGATATAATTGGGATTACACGATCTCCCATTTCGAGAACTTCGATTAATCATCATGAAAGTTCAGCGCTATCCGTTTTTGGATGGTCTATCCCAACGATGACTTTTGTACCCGCAAAAGTTTATAAGATCAATTACGACTTTCTCCGTCCCAGTATATGTTTCAACCACATATAGAAGTCTCTTGACGCCTTTCCTTCTTTCTAATCAAATCAAGTCTGGAAACGTATTATGAATTGAATTTTAGCTTCAACTTGTTAAGATGGCTTAAACTGTCTGCTCATTTTTCATTCAAACGTTACTTTCAAAGTACGTCAGACTTGCATGTCTGTTGAATTTTAAGTAAAATTGACGTCACCTTGGAAATCCTGAATTTCTCTCGCATCATTTCCGTTCGGCGACCAGCTAAATCATGCGAAAATTAGGACTAATGATCGACTTGTTCCTCTAGTGAAAAGTCGTAAACTGAGCAAGTCCAAACGGTGTACTTCGGAATATTGTTCTGACAGACCAAATCACAAATTGAACTAATGCTGAGCAGGGATGTTCTGAGTGAAACAAGATAGAGCAGAATCCCTTGTCAACTGTTAAACTGTAAAAAATGATGTTTTTTTCATTTAATTGGTCGTTTTTTCCTGGAGAAAAGTAGTTTCAAATGAAGGAGAAACCACGGCGACTTTTATGAGTGAAACCGTCTTTACTAGACGGATCATGTTACTCATGTTACAAACTATGCGTGGTTGTGAGTTTGTTTCGCTGTATGGGTCTGTCTCGACTCGCATGCTTTCGATTGAGAAGGTTGAAAAGTGGGGCCATTCATAAGTATACTTTCAAGTGGATTGGGGAAACCTCAGTGTCTCAACACTTGGTTCAAACGAAGTTATTGTATAACTAATTATCTCTAATAGCACCAGGCTAATGTAGGTAACATTTTCGAGTTACCTCTTGGGCGCCAGCAATTAGTTCAAAGGCAAGTAAATGTCAATGATGTAAACTTAGCAAACCACGTGAGGATGACAACTGGCTGTTTGGCCACACGGGTTTGTCAGAACTTTTTCTGGCTTAAAAGCGCAGATGCAGATGTCTGCTGCGACAGAAAGGCCATTTATCAACTTGACTTGCACTGTACGGACTGTCGCAAAAACAACCGGGGCTTCAACTGTATCCAGTGTCAAGGGAGACTTCAGGCAGTTGTTCCGGGTCTGCTCTGTCAGTCCATTTTTGGTTGACCCCCAGGAACTCCTCAAAGTTTGAAAAGAAAAACTTTGTGCAGACGTAGTACATAAGGTCTCTGGAAACTCTGTACTTCGTAAAGTGTTTGTTGAACCCTCTCATGAGGTGACTTCAGAGTAGTCATACAGTTTGTCACTGATCTAAATTCTCTAGTTGATTAGCACGTTAACTGTCTCAAGGCCGAATTTCCATTACGGACTTGTTCCACGGTGCATTACCAAAGTGTTGGGCGTAGTACATCCAGTTTATTAACTGAAACTATCTGATGCTTCGGCCACCAAGAGTTGCGCTGAGTAACCTGGTACAAGAAATATTCGAGTCAGGGAAAGCTGTATGCCTCCTAGTGCGTCTCCGTATCGTGCATGAGAGAGCTTCGGACGTCGGTTCCGCTGGTCGCGCTTTTACAGTTCCTTTAGTCGACCATGTTTGACTCCAAGGAGTCCCCTTTGACGTCATTTAATAATGCCGGAAAAAGTGCAGTTGAAATGTGAAGACGACGTCAGGAAGGGCAAGCTGAACGTCACAAAAACAAGCAAGAAGAGACACTTCAGCGGAGACGGAACACTCCAGGCTTGGGAGAAGTAACGGGTACTTCTGGTGACCCGGTTGTCTCCGATATTGACGGTGAAGAGAAACCAATGTTCCTGAACCTCGGTGAGATTGTTGGAAATGCTGCAAATGAGGAGATCCTGCTGTGCGACTTCTCGCTGTACAATCAGATCGCAATTTGCTGTCCAGTGACTGTAATCCAACAACTGACAAACCGATAAGGGCTGGATTGTTAACAAAACTGGTGGCTTGCTCGCTGGGTTTGAAGCTTTTTGGGTCCTTACAAACATCGCTTCCGACAAGTCGGCTGAGACTATTGTTGTGGTCCACTCGACTGTGACCCAAATATGGGTCGGTTGCGAATAAGCCGCACTGAACATGCAACGGCTGTACTACCAGGAACAGTTAGCCAGTCCGTTATAAAATATCTCAAGCGCCCGGCGCTAGTGTTTTGATAAGGGATGTGTGAGTAACCTCCGAAAAAAATCGTTGGCTCCGGGGTTGTAGGGCCAACAGAAGGTCGGGAACGGTTCTAACCTATTAGACTTTCCGCAGGAATGAGCACTGTTGCTTCCGGAATAATGAGCTTCATAGATCTGTTAAACGAATGGCGCAACTGGTGCACACTATTCAATGCATTTGGTAGCCTGACGTGGGTCCAAACCCAACCGTTCTGGATCAGAAGTGAACCTGAGTTTACACTGAATTATTTTGGCGCCTACCGGCATAAGTAGTTTAAAGATGCACCACTAATCCTCGATAGTCCTTTCCCATTTAAAAGGCGAATGAACTACACCTTTGGTCATCAGCTACCAGTGCGTGGCGAACTCTGCGCTTCGTCTTATTGTCTTGCGGATCAGAGTTAGCGATTAGATTTTCTGAGGAGACCTCATGGAAAAACCTCTTACTTTATCCTCCGTGACCTGGTGGTAACACAACCGTCAAACAAATCAAGAAATTAAAAATTGCGTGCGTTACAAGACTGTCTTGATTCTCTTCGCTTGAACACTATTTCACGACATGCACTATCCTTCCACTAAAATACTGTTTGCTCATATTCTGTCAGGCTGATCATGTAGTGAATGCTCAAGCTCCCGTGCTGACCAAGGTTCACGCTGTCTCCAAGATCTGTGTCACCTAGGTGTTATTAATCCTGTTTGTAATCTCCTGCTATTTTTTGTCTACGTACACCATTGAACAACGTGTACCATAATATATATATATATATAATATAATAATAATAATACGTGGTAACCGGAAGGCGAGTCAAACTTGTTAAATCCTATCTTTCTATATTAACTGTTGGGAAAAGGTTGAAATCAGGATCGCATTCGCCAGTTTCTTCTGACTCAAAATAGGATTTTCGCATGTGTCACTCCCGAGACTCAGCCGCAGTTGTATCATGGTAGGTGGGTGTAGGTGTGGCTTTGAGTGTTGACATCAAGACCACACTGTCAGTCGCTCAGTCTGGACTATCCTATGTGTGCAGTACGACCTAGGGGTTTTTTGTAAAGTGAACCGGAAGGTGAACCTAAAACGATGTCTCGTTGGGTTGCCTACATATGTTCCGATCAGTTTTAGTCCAAATGTTGTAAACGATTGTTCATATCATCGCTTGAAACTTTTGCTTCGAATGAACACTAAATCTGACATCTTCATTCTGACAGAGATCTTGAATACTAGGACTGGCTACCTAACAACATGTGAGACATATCTGTGGCAAGTGAGACCGACTACTGAGCCTTTGTTCAGACCGTTAGCTACTTTACAGTGGTAGCCGCTCCACAGCTTGGCGCCTTGCATCTCTAGTACTACCGCCGATTCAGACTGACATCACGGCTAGCTATAACTATAGATGGGAACAGCGTAAAAGACTGTCTCTCGTTGTAGATTGTTTGGGTAGGTTCTGAACATTCGTTAGTCTTCTATACGATTTGATGGCTCAACGCACATGCGTGAAGAGGATGTCAGAGCCATCCGTTCTGACAGGCTGCTACAGCATCCTGATAGCCCCACGGAATCGCGTCGGACACGGAACCAATTAGATTGGTTTTTTTATCCACTTGGAGGGTTGTCACTGGGTTTCGGTACAGTCCCTTCAAACTTAAGACATCTTGTCTACTAACACCAGGCAGCATCCATAAGTCATCACACCTCACTCTGAAGCACCAAATTAACGTCAGTCTACAAAGAGACCATGAACAATGTGTCCAGAAATTGTTTGTGAGATGAAGGCCACCGCAGTAGCCATAATCTCCAAGACGCTGTTGCAGCCTAATCACGAAACTGGTAAAAATGACTAGGTTTTCCTAATCTGGGTGACACTACAATTTGTAGTCTCTGACAATCCCAAAAACACCAAACGCAGCACTTCCGCCCGCAGTTTGCATGACTTCTCGCAGCGGCCAGTTTGTCTATGTTTAACGTGGAAGACTCGTGACTTATCACTTCGTAACCACCCGTGTAAGAGATCCTAGAGGACTTGCGGTTAAATTTTTGTGTCTGCAGTTTATCGTCCAACGAGAAAAATTGACAGAAAGGAATCAGGTCTAGTTGCGTGCAGTCCACAGTTGTGCTGATCATCCTTCGTCAACTGTTGGAGCATACAGTGTAAAATACAGTGTAACAGTCAGAGTGGTATTTCATAGAATTGTATGTAAGGAGATAAAGCACCCGAAGAATGTGAATACTAGAGACATTCAAAGTTTACCAGTTAGCTTTCTCGTCGCTTTGTCGTTCTAGCAATCTGCGACACGGTTTCCTTAGCTTCAGGTTCCTTTTGTCATTTCGCGACCGACTATAATCTGCACAAGGCATTAGAATTGCAGTTCATTTGAATTGATGAATTTCTTATGGAAACTGTCCATGACCTGGAGTTTGTTGATGATATCACCTTAACCGTCCAGGGAATGAAAGTTGTCTTGGACGGGTTGACAACCGAGGTGGGAAAATAGGATAAATTCTCTTCTCTCAAAAAATAGATTGGTAGGAGCTTGAGCGTGCTCTCATTTTAGGATGCAAACAGTTGGCAGATATATCTACATAGAGCGTTGTATGAATGCTGTTGAGGGGGACTGAAATGCGCTATCACTCTTCTTCACCACTAGAGCACTGTGAGACAATATGAATCGTCTACAGCGGTGAAGTAATGTTCACTTTCGCTTAAAGTTCACGTTCGCTGTGTTGTAGAGTCTTCTGAATGACCTCACCCCTCGGCGCAATGTTCACCGTGTGTGGACTGTATGTGGAAGCTTCCCTAGTAGCAACAATGTGTTAGTAACAATTAGATAAGTTAGCTATTTTGTCCCTCATGATCTAAATACGGGCCACATTGTTTCGTTAGATCTGCTGAGGTAGGACATTTCCGATGCATGTCATCTCACACCTAACCCTGGTCGTTTTGGGTGTGGCTGGAAGGGTGAAAAGGGGGAACAAAATAGTATCTGAAGAAGAGCGAAGTAAAAATGTGTGGCCGGATAATCTGCCTTCGGACGATTCCGGTTCTCTGGATTTGACCCAATAGTTCCTGATTGTTACCAGTCGGATACATTTGGGAATGTATCTCAGATTCAAAGGTAACGGGGCAAAAGCCAAACCTTGCTGTTGTGGCTGCTTTAGTTAACCAAACAAACAGCCCGAAAGATGGTTTTGATTTGGCGAGATACACTTGCTTGAAAATTACTTTGGTCCTAATGGGTGACCTCAGTTAATCCTAAATGAAACTCTCGTGTATGATGGTCTCCAACCAAAAATACTGCACAATGACCATTTCATGTTGAGTTCGTACGATTTTCGGGTTATCGCAGTGTACTTGTTTGGTGGAACACACTACTCATAGGGTTGTTGAAAGCTCTTCGGCACGACTAGTTTTGTTGAGAATATCTTAAAAGAAAGATGCGGTAGACATTCACTTTGGTTTACCGTTGCCATTAACTTCATTTTCAAATGAATGTTTGTCGCTATTTGTGTACTTGTTGGTGGAACACACTACTCATAGGGTTGTTGAAAGCTCTTCGGCACGACTAGTTTTGTTGAGAATATCTTAAAAGAAAGATGCGGTAGACATTCACTTTGGTTTACCGTTGCCATTAACTTCATTTTCAAATGAATGTTTGTCGCTATTTGTGTACAATTTGGCAATCAAGTTCAGCATAAGATTGGTTGGAAGTGGGGTAATGAGCCTACTTGGTGAGCCTTAAGAAGGGCGACACCGGTTCAGGCTATCAAGAAATTTTCAGCAACCCTATGAGTAGTGTGGTCCATCAGGAAAACAGTTTTGAGTTCATCAGCCAGAATACAGCTACAAAGATAACGAACATAACATGCTTAACCCTCGTCTCGTGTCCTTCCTTCCTAACGTTCTATTCGAGGAAACAATAGATTGCGTTTGTGACTTGATCGATTGCGGTGGTACAGGTGTTGGCTCCCCTAAGGTGATTTAAGGAAGCACTTTACTTTGTGACTACAGTTGTCAGTCCATCTGTGGTGACGCAGGGGGATGCGTTGGCGATGTGACTCTCTCTGAGTTCCTAATTAGCATATCTGTTCACTGGCGAACTTGAAATTCAAATGCTGATGGCGCTCATTGAGCTGTTTTTGCAATATGGTCGTCAGTAGGCAGTATATTTGTACCTTCCAGCCATGTCGGCTGAACCAACGTGCCAGGTAGTTTCAGATGGGTTCACGTACGTATCAAGTTTGTGGTTGAACGCAACGGACAGCTGAGTTAGCTCGACGTTAATAAACCTCAGAATGCCGCTTGGGGCGTGGAGTGAGATATTCATAGAAGGCAAGACTGATCAATATCATCATTCTAGTAACGTGGTTCCCTTGAACGAAAAGCGTAACTGACTTAGATGTTTGATTATGAAGGCAATGGAAATATGTTGCTGTGACTGGGGTAACTAAATGCCTTTCGCAGCATGGATATCCTGAATGATTTTGAACTTCAGACTATGTAATCTAGGGAGCAGAAAAGCAAACAGCTTTCTGCCAAGAAAAAGTATGTCTGTGTAAAACTTCAATTCATAGGTAACTCGGTTACTGAGTGTATACCAGAAGGCTAAGACATCCCATTGATATGACAAACGCTGCTGCCAGTCTGT